CTTCCTGGCACTTCCTTTTCTTCTCCTTTCAAACAATCACCCTTTCCCCTCTCCCTTAAGTGGTCTAGGTAACTGCCAAAAGATCTACGTCACGTAGCTATTCAATGTACTCACCCAACCCGCCTCCCTGCCTCGAGTCTCTGCGCGCGAAACCCGCACGTACCATTTCCCTCTTCCCACCGCCTATCACAACCCCCTCCCCGCGTTTCCAATCCAGCACCCAAAAGTCTCATGCACTGCCAGTCCTCTTCCTCTCCCCCCTCTCTCCCCTTCTATACTCTCTGTAGTACATCCCCCTCCCGAGCACTTTCGATACCCCGCGCATCTGCGGCAAAATCAGCACACGGATCTTTCTCCCATCCGTCCATCACCCACTCTCCCCTACGTGGCCACGCCACGTTCCCCCACTCAACTCACCCCAGCACCCCTTCCCCAATGCCTCCGACTAGCGGTCACCATTCTCACGCAGCAGCCCCCCTCCCCCACTCCTCCCTGCACCTTACCCTATCCTTGCTCCCCCTTTCCCTGCTTCCCCCATCCCCGTCTTTCCTGTCCGTCCCCACTGCCCTTACCTCCCCTGTCCCCCTTGTCGCCCTCCCAACGTTCTTCCTGCTCCTCCTCCCTCCCCCCTTCCTCTGTCCCCCCCCCTCCCGCTCCCGCACTACACGCTTGGTGATAAACCAACAACTCGTGCCGCTGCCGAGGCCGGCCGAGGTGAGTCGAGGCAGCCAAGGGCTAGCCGAACCGTGCCGAGCCGAGCTTTAGAAATTGCCCTTTCTTCGGAAGATATACTATGTCGTTAAGATACAAATTGATTTTTGCTGGCTTGAAGTGGATCAGAGGGTTCTGAGTGAGGTAGACGTTTTAAAACCGCTTAAACGGAACTGTAAGGGGTGCGGTGGTCCATTGACTGTAAACGGAAGTATTGTAATTACAAAAGCTCCGATCGGCTCGGCTCTGCCGGTTTCATGCAGATCCGCAAAAAATTTTTTCTCCCGGCGGCTGGTAGGGCGGTCCCACGGCGGATGGCGACAGTTTGAAAATGGTAGTTGGAAGTGGGGGCTGGTATGTAGCGCGTTTCGTTCGAGGCAGGGGTGAGGGCTGAGATAGGTGGGTGTAACGACTAAATGGCGTGGATTCTTTATCGGTTGGCTAAATAACGTGCATTTGGAGGAGAAAGGGGAAGCGGTAATGAACAGAAAGAATGAGGAAATGTGCTCCTGGTCTTTATCGTAGATATCTGGGGTAGGGAAAGGTGAGATACTGCTTGCTTGCACAGTGCTGTTATAGTAAGGATAGAGAGGGGACTAGATCTTGTTTGCTAGCAGGATTTGTGGATAGGGTAGAGGAGAGCAACGAGGGTATTAGTCAGGAGCTTGAGGCAAGAACTAGAGACAACAGTAAAGAGAAAAAGACAACACAGTGCATGCATATAAAAGTAAATTAAAGCAAATCTGACTTTATTAATAAATGCAAAAAAAACAGGTTTTTCTAGTGGAAACTGTTGCGCAAAAACCTATCATCAGTAGGGGATTTCCTTGTTTATGAAACTGATGCTTAAATAAAGCTATTCCACAAAAACCCGTCATTAGGCTTTCCTAATTATGAAGACGTTTAGAAAAAGCTGAAAGCGAATAAATTCCATGAAGTGAGCAAAAGCAGGATAGACTGGACGCGCGGGAATGAAGCCAGCCTTCCCTTCTGTGAGATTTTGAAGGTTAAAAAAATAAAAGCATAACTGTTGCACACAGCGGCAGGCTGCAGGAGGCAACACTGTAGAACTGTTTGCAATTCTTGTATAAATCCAGTCGAACTTATTTGCTGTCAGCTTCCCGAAGCATGAGCTTGAGTAAATCCTGTCGAACTTATTTATTTTCAGCTTCAGCTAAGCATAAGCTTCATAAATGCGGACTTACTGAAGGCGGATTTTTGTAAGATAATTCCTACTCACATCAACTCAGTTTTTGCATGCTTTCGCTTTTGTTTACAGGCTCCAATTCTTTGATTTTGGTATGCGTTTTTTGCAGCTATGCAATGCAAAAACGCATATTGTCGAGAGGTTGTCTGTGTGTGTGTGCGTGTCTGTGTGTGTGTATGCGTGTCTGTGTGTGCGTCTGTAACGAGTTTTCATTTCAGATTCACAAAAGCTACAAGGCTGAAAAATTGGTGACTTAATCTACATAAACGTACGGGCTCGTATCCTCAAAGTGGACGCTCAGGTCCGCGTGGTTCTCACGCAGGGGCGCGCGAAAATCTTTTTGGCGGGAAAGCGTTTTCGGGAACGGCCCATGCTAGGAGGCTGGAACTTCACAGAGATGTTCCTTGGCTGCGTCTAATCCAAGGATTTCAAATTCAGCCTTCACGCACCTCCAGTTCTCCCTACGCACACGTCGAAATTTAGACTGGCATCATGCCAACTCTAGATTTAAGCTGTTCAATAAGAGCATCTCACGTACAAACATGTGAAAATTTCACGCATGCGCTTTTGAAACTTCAGAATTGAACCAGCCAGAGGACCAGGACTTTCTGAGCATAACCGACGGTGGCCTTTGAACAGATACACGCAAAACGACTTACACATCACTTTCATGTCTCACTTACTTTTCACGTGTACACACGTGAAATTTGACGTGGCTTCGCAACCTGACCAGCCGGAGTGCTGAAACTTTTGTGCA